TACATTAGGATCCGTATTAAGAACGCTAATAAAGGCCCAAGGTTTCCGAATCAGGTTCCTCTATGAAGATACCCTGAACCCTAAACCTTATAGTACCCTAAAAAGCAGGATCCTTATAATAAGGACCCAAGGTTTCTTAATCAGAAACCCTAAACCCCTAAACGTTCCTACATTACACTTCCAAAGTAGGACAGAACTTGGAAGCTCTGCAAGTCGGCAGAAGCACGCGGCGGGGCGGGACTGGCCAAGACAGGAGCAGCCAAAGCCAAAGCAAAAAGAACCGCAACCCGAACCCAGCCGGTCGAGTCCAGAACCACGGACCTGAACTCTATACAACTTCGACGAACCCGAAATCCTGAACCACAAAAGCTTAACCCTAAACCCCATAAACTTGAATCCCTTGAGTCTCTCTCTGTTCCCATGAACAGAAATCTCTCCTGGGTCTGTCCCTCGCGCGCAAGAGCCGACTCCATGCGTCCGTCGAAGAGGAAGTTGGCTTTCAGGATCTCAGCACCTTAGGGTCTAATTAGGGTTTTTGCCTCCCGCTTCGCAAGGATTCAGAGTTTAGGGTAAGGGCTGATAGAAACTATGGGTTGGGGTGACGACGAAAGGGGCTGGGGTTGTTGCGGGGCTGGGCTGGGCTGGGCTGCTGGGCTTGGTACGGTTGATAGAAATTAAGCGTTTGAGTTTGAGTGATGATAAGTTCTGAGCGTATCGTTTTGACAGGGATGTTCTGTCGAACCTTGCTTTCGAATTTTCGGCGGCTGGGGGCTGCGGGTGTTGGGGGCTGGGCTGGCAGGCTGGGGCTGTGGTTGTGGACTCATAGTAAGAATTCGTAACTATAGTAATTGCAGTAAACTCGTAATTTTCCAGGGTGCTTACGTTTGTGGTTGTATGCGGATAGGGTTTCGGTTTCGTGCCGGTTCACGCGGCATTTGCACGCGTTTAGGTTTTCAGGCTGTAGCTTATTCATGGAGTGCCTTTCGCGTTGACTGGAGCTTAAGCTGTGAACCCGAAATCCAAGACCCGAAACCCAACCCTAAGCTCTAACCCCAAGCCCTAAATCCTTAACCCGAGCTGGGGCTGGAGAAGGTGGGGGCAGAAGGCTCTCTAGAGGCGAGGGCGAGATTATGCAAGATGTCCTTCCCCGGCTTCGCTTTCAGTGTTCAGGCTTTATGATCTACAGTTTATGGGTATATGATATGTGAACGATCCCTATGTAGGTTGGGGCATCTGTCTGAATTACGGGGCTCGGGGCTTTGGTGAGGACGAACTCTGCGGAAAGGACGTGGGGTCGAGGTCGAGGCTTCAGTTTACTCGATGCTTCGTAGAGTTCACACAGAAGCCTGAATAATTGGAGGGGTTTAGGGCTGTAATGCACACCAGAAACCTTGTATTAAGCCATAAACCCTAACGGATAGGAACAAAAGGTACGCCGACAGGCCGTTTTGCACTTTGGGCGTGGGATTCAATTAGGGCCAATTCACTACAGCCTAGAACCTAAATTAAACCCTAAGCCCCTAACCCCCTATCGCCGACCTTAAGCCCTAAACCCCTAACCCTAAACTCCCTGCAGCCGAGCACCTTTGGGATGGTAGCGAAACGTCAGAAGCAAAGTCCCGCAGTTCATGACCTTCGATCAACACGTTCTGCAACAAGGTCCCACTTAATCCAACATGTCCACTTGGGGGAATTACAAGCTAACCTTTGAGAGTATACTGGGATGATAAAACGATTATAGTACCCTCCTGGTATTGCGCGTCTGGCTGTTATCGGGGTGTACTGGACTCGAAGCTTTTATGATCAGGCGGGCCCCGGATACTTCCGGAAACAAGGGTGATGTCGAAGCCCCCGACCTTAGCCTTAAGCTAATATGAGTTTGTGGCAGGATCGCCCATGACTTCTGTATTCAAGGAAATGACAAGACCAAACATAATGTAAGTTGCGGTAGTTTGAGGTAGCATAGGACCCCCTTGTTGAGTCACGGGCCGGGGCCGGACTTCTGAAGAAGCATCATATGGGAGTTTCCGAAAATTTAAACAGGGGACCTAATATAGTACCCTAAATAGTAGGATCCTTACATTATAAGGACCCCAAATAAGGTAACCCTTATTTTCGGAAACTCCCATATTGAAGACCCGAAATGACCCCCTTCCCCATCCTCTCAAACCCTTCAACCCATGCCCTGAACCGCAGAAAGTCGATCATTTTGGATCTTGCCCTCAAGAAGCTTGCGGCTTCGAAATCGAAATATTCAAGCCCGGACCGGGTTAAAAAGGAACTGCTCATGGGAGGAAGTTTGGCAGCTCCTCTCGTAACCCAAGCTAGATGTTGTGGGGGCACCCCTTGATGGTTTTCTGTGACAGAACTCAGATGGCCTTGTCATCACATTGGAGCAAGAGCAAACTAGTGTGCTTTCCTCATGATAGAAACTTACACGAAGCTCCTCAATGCCCTCCCAGAATTAAAACTCTACCACTGCTGCTACCCCTCTACTACAAGAACATCAGGGGGCTGATTACTCGGCACCGGTCCAATTTTGCTGCTTCTGAACGAAGACTAGACCCACGAGTAGCCTAGGGATAAGAAGGGTGCCGTTCTTGGTGTAAAAGGGGTTATCCTAAACCCGTTTCCTAGTGAACAAAGAAACTCGAAACCCTAAACCCTAAACCCTAAACCCTGAACCCTGGCTTCCAGCCTTGTCATGATAGGGATCCACAGTATCATGGGTGGCACCGTTGCGCAGGGCAGTGCGCACTTCCTCCTATCCAATCGGGCTCCCTCAAGGGTTTAGGGTTTAGGGTTGCGGGAGGGTTCAAGCAAGATGTGCTGATGTGGAAATTTGTATAATTAGAATAGGGTTGTGGGGCCCATTATACTATAGTTGCAATAAGCAACCTTCAAAGTAGTATAGGTAATTATTTAGGCCCCTATATTAACCCTGCTTCCCAACACATCTGATCTTGGCGCTTTGGGGTTTCGGAAAGGCCTGGGAATTTCGTTGCCCTTTGCCAGGTAAGTCATAGAGTTTCCTGGACCCGCCCCCAGAGACCCCCCCCCAAACGCACAGTATCTGTTGAAGCATGCCGGCTTGTGGCTCGTTGAGGGGGCGACAGGAGCTTCAATGAAGGGGGTCGGGGCCGAAAGCCACGGTATTTGTGGTTCTTAAGATACATTGACCTCCGGGATATGTCAGCTCAATAGTGCCCCAGAGGCCTCAGTTAGGCTAGCGAGCGCCAAACTAAGCACCAAAAGGCTTCAATAAGAGTTTTTGCGCTATATTGAGGTTCAGAATGCCTCCTTTGAAGCCTCCCCGTTTGCAAAAGAGTGTTATTGAAGCCAGCCTGTTTCAGAAAGTTCGTTGCAACTGAGCGTTAATTTTGGCTATTGAGCGGTATCTCGTGTGGGGTTGGAAACCTGAGTCCTCATGGAGTCTGAAGCCGATGCCGCTTCGGAAGCTGGGGAAGCCGATGCCCCGGAACAGGCTTCCCCAGCTTCCGAAGCGGCATCGGCTTCAGACTCCATGAGGACTCAGGTTTCCAACCCCACACGAGATACCGCTCAATAGCCAAAATTAACGCTCAGTTGCAACGAACTTCCTGAAACAGGCTGGCTTCAATAACACTCTTTTGCAAACGGGGAGGCTTCAAAGGAGGCATTCTGAACCTCAATATAGCGCAAAAACTCTTATTGAAGCCTGTTGGTGACGCTCGGGAGCCAACAAGGCAGGCGGATGGTTTGAGTCCCCCTGAGCTGCCCCCAAAGCCGAACAGGAATAGGCCCTGGCATCCTTCTATAGCAGCCCTCTACTGCTCAATAAGCCTTCGCTAGTGCCCAATCCATTCCTCAATAAGCCCCTCAATTGGCTTCGCTGGCTCCTCCCTCGAACCACCCCCAAAAGGGAACATGATTTAAGTTTTAAGGGTCCGGATTCGGCCTTTCAAATTTTGGCATGTAGGGGCTAGTTCGAAAGCGTTGGAGACTTGGAGGTTTGAGATTCAGTGCTGCTTCACTTCCGGTGTTCGGGGTTAGGCCTTGAGTTGTTTTTTGCTGAGGGACTTAATCATTAGGCCTTGGCATACATCAACCACAGCCGAAAGCTTAAACGGCCCTTTGCTAGTGCCCCATCATAACTTATAGTAACCCATTATGCCCTAACCCTATAGCCTAACCCCTAAACCTTATACCCTAAACCCTAGTCGGCTTCGCTAGGCTCCTCCTTCGAAACCACCCCCAAAACCGAACATGAATAGGATCTTTTTGGCATCGTTCAATAGCAGCCCTCTACTGCTCAATAGGCCCTCGCTAGTGCCCAATCAATTCCTCAATAAGCCCCTTAATTGGCTTCGCTAGCCTCCTCCCTCCAAACCAACTCCGAACCGCGAAACCCATGCTTCTTTGAGCTTCGCTAGTGGGCTTGTCTTTGGGGGGGGTCTGTGGGGGGGGGTCTAGGGAACCCTATGAGTAAGGGCAGGTTTTGTTGGCTTGTTTCAAATTTCGCCCAGCAGAAAAAAGATCGAACCCACGGTCATGATAACCCCGTAAAGCAGAACTAAACCCTAAACCCTAAACCCACCTAAACCGGCTCTGTGATAGATGTGCTGATTGAAAAGGAGCCTTGGGAGAATTATATACATAGGCGCTACATCGAACTAACGCCAGGTGTCTCATCCACTTCCCGAGGGTACACGTATACCTATATTACATATACTTGGACCCTAAACTACCTGAAAAAGCCCCTTTTAGGCCAACGTTTATACCAAAATGGTACACGGACCCCATGTTCCTCATTCCACTTCAAGGATAAAGCAATCAGCCTGAACCCTGTCCTGAGGTTTCTGGACTTCCGTTCATAGGAGAATCCGGAAAGGATCCCTTCAACCAGAGGCACCCTAAACCCGAAGCACTACAAGTTACCTAAACCCTAATCACTAAAAGGTACCCTAAACCCTAAACACGAAAAAGTACATGGTCCCTCATGGTCCCATGGTCATCGGCTCCTGGCGGGTGGCATCTTGGGGCCAAAAAAGTTGAAGGATCCTCTTGAAGAGAATCGAGTGCGCGATGAGGCCTCAGGATGTGGAATCCCGTAAAAATACCTGGAAGGTTATACTCTAGCCCTTTTTGAGGGCACCTAGGTTTTTATGGTCAGCAACCGTTGTGTAGAAAAGTATAGGTACCCTAAACAGAAGATACTGTATGATCCTCTATGTACGGTCCATTATGGAGTGCCTTCGGTTTTTGTACGGGCTGTGAGGGCCATGGCACCTTAGTAAAGCCTCAGCTTTCCGTCTTACGCGCGGCACGTGAACCCTAAACCCTACCTATAGTCTCCGTTATAGTTGCTTTTTTGGGTTTAACCAAATATATAATAAGGATCCTAAAAGGTAACCCCCAAAAGGAACTACAAAGGAGACTACAGGTAAACCCCAAAGCTTCAGCTTTCACTAGACCTACCTGGACCCTAAGGAACCTACCTTTTCAGGGTTCCCTAATATGATTTCTTTATATAAGTCCTTAAAAAGGTAGGTTACGTGGGGTTAAGGTAAGAGTAACCTAGGAATAAAAAGGGTGCCCTTTTTGGTTTAAAGGTGGTTGCAAGGGAACCTAAAACCCTAAAAAAGGGAATAAGGGCCTACTCCGGATCCTAGTTCAGTATTACGAGCGGCGTATCAAACTGGGTTCCCGGGCCGACGACGGGCTCCTCGTCTTCAACGAGGATGCGCTTCATGAGGCTGCGAAAGGGGGCTCATTTGGGTTTTTAGGCTTTGTGGGGGTTTAGGGGTTTTGGGTTTTGAGGATTAGGGTTAGGGCATTTAGGCTTCATGAGGCTGGAAGGGGGCTCATTTCTGCTGGGGTTTTGGTGGTTTAGGGTTCGGGTTTTGGGGTGGCTCAAACGTTGTTAGTCTTTGTGGGGTTTAGGGCCTTTAGGGTTTTAGGGGGGGTCAATTGACATTAGGCTTTGTGGGGTTTAGGGTTTAGTAGCTCTGCGTTCTGCAGGGGGTTAGGGTTTAGTGGCTTGGGGTTTTGTAGGGGTTTAGGGATTCGAGGGTTAGGGGTTTTGGCTTCTAGGGCTGAATTAGAAATCACCTCTAATTACAGGCCTAGTCAGGTTTTCGGGTCTGGGTCTAATGCTTAGGGTCTCGGAGAAAACTCAAGAGTGAATTCGATAGGTTGTGTCTGTGCGTGCATGTGCGTGTCGGCATGTAGGCTTCAAGGAAGCTTGAACCCAGTCCTGTACCTGTAGAAATTTTGGGCTAATACTGGGGCCTGGATAATTGGAATACGGGTTTGGAGTAAGTTGTAGTATGCTTAGAAGCAGGATCCCCCGGGGATACGTAGTGTTGGTACTTATTCAGGCTTCTTTGATATACCCTGAACGGTTAGTTTCCAACAAGGGCCACGCTCCTACGCCGAATGCTACACGGGATATTCGCACGACTGAGAAATTGGGAAGAGCCGGAAGACCGATATCCAAGTCCCCAAACCCCTGAAACCAAAACCTCGAAACCCCAAGCCCCTCAACCCTCAAAGGTAAACCCCAATTAAGCGCCTGAAGCCCTAAAGCCTAAACCGAGTCCGGAACTTTAGTTTAAACTGAAAAACTCCAAAGAAAGCCCGAGATTTTGAAGCCGAGGCCTTCGTACTCTCGCGTTGTCCTGCTTCAAGTTCTCCTTCCGTCGTTCTGCGGTCTAGGGTCTAGGGTACCTTTCACTCAACGGCTACCTTCGTTGGGGCTCTAGCGCCTTGTGTGTATAGGGTTGGGGCTTGCAGGGCTTAGGGTTTATAGGAGTCAGAGCTTGGAATTTGACGCTTATAAGGGTTCATATTCTACTTGATTTTGAGGCTTAGGGTTTAGGCTTTGGCTTGAAACTCCTCGCTTCACAACAACTATATTGAATGAAATGGCAGAAGCCACAATCAAAAACCTTTCAACTTCGAGGCACTGATTGGCAGGAGGCACGGTTATCGGCCTACTGGGCAATGCATTTGCAAAGTTGCTTGTCGAAGCGCGGCAAGTCTTCCAAACAAACACAGAAAGATTAGAACTGACAGCAACAACACTAACCAGAGGCCCCATAGTAGTTCCTTTTTGGGATTACCTGAGAGGATTCTAAATATGAACCCAAAAGGAACTACTATGGCTACTATGGGGCCTGAGGGTAGCGGAAGTGCTGTTGCTCTCGAAGCGGATCCCGAAGGGCCCTTACAAAGGGGGCTTTTGGCTGTAGAATACAGGTAATTGTTCCTCATAAGAAAGAAACCTTGAGGAATAATGCTCGCAGTTATTCAGCAGTACCTGCCTTGTGGCGACTGATGAGGAATGCTCGTCGTCTGCACAATCTGAAGCGACAGATCTTGCCAGCGCCTCTGATCCCTTGGCGTCTTTGCCCGTCGTACTTGTGGAGGGACTGCATGCAGTCATCGTGGTGCTGGTCGTCTTCCGGTCGTCCACGGGTTTGGCCATTTCGGAGCTAGACATAGCAAAGTACTTCGGGTTGGTGCTGCGCACGCAATGAGAGGCTTTGCACGGACTGTGCAGCTTTTAGCCTGCAGCCTAAACCCTAGACCCTAAACAGTTGTCTGAGGCCGTCGCCTTTTGGCCACGGCACAGGTAAGGGGGCGGAAGGGGAGAACAATTTGGAGTATTTCAAAAGTATATACTGCGGCCTTCATCATACGCATATATATATATATATATACATATATATATATATATATATATATATGTGGAGGCACCCTTGAAGGCCTCATTGTAATCGAAAAGGGTAAATGGACCCTCGAAAACTCAAAGGCAGACCCTGTAAAACCTTTGTGAAAATGTAAATGAGCACATGGAGTCCAGGTACACGGCCTAGGCTTGAAAGATTCTAAATCCCTATACGCCCCAAACCCCAAACCCTGTAAACCCCTTAAACCGTCCCCTTAACCGTAAGCCCAAAACCCGATCGGCTTAGGGGCTTGTAAGTTTTAAGGTTGCTGGGTTTCAGCCCCAAGCCTAAGGCCTGAGGGCACTTCAAACCCTTAAACCCTCAACCCCAAAAAGCCCTAAACAGCCCAAACGCTGAACCAACAAAGGCCCCAAGAAGCACCAAGTGTCCCTAACAATCCTAAAACCCTAAACACCTTAGGTGTTCCCGAAAAAGTTCCTATAATTATAAACATTCCTTTTCAACGGCTTAGGGTATTGGGATTGTGGGTTTTGGGTCGATTTCTTTTCAGGGTGAAAGTCAGGGTCTAAAAAGCAACGTAACACCGACTGTTGAAACCTACGCCCTTGCAAGGGTACTAGCTTTGGCAGCTCTTGTTTAGATGCTTCTGCTGGGCTCCTACAAAGCAAGCCTGAAAGCCACTGAGAACTTCAACAATTACGGAAATACGGGTAGTCAGGGGCCTTAACAATAACTAGACTAGGGCTTTAGGGCTCATTGGACCATCATTATAAGAAGGAGCCCCCGAAATACTATACGTAATTATTCAGGCCCCCATACTACATCCTCATCATAGCCTTATTTGTGGTCCTTAAAGTAACCCTTTCAAAGGAACCCTATGGTGATTATGGAAGCCCCTATAGTAATTATCGGCTTCTTCGGGTTGGGGTTAGATCCCCCGCCTTAGGGTTTAGGATGTAGGATTTACCTTAACTACCAAACCCTACTTTTTGGTAGGCTCTTATTATAAACCCTGATATGGAGAATATAGGGACCCTACAAAAGTAGGTTTTGGGAGGTTAAGGTAGGGTTTAGGGCTTCCCGTGTCCTTCTTAAAGGCGCTCACTTCACTCCACCAGGTCTGGGCCTCAAGGCTGGCAGCTGCTGTTGGGGTTTTTAGGGTTCCTTTATAGGGATTGATTGGGGGTTCGTTTCAAGGGATCTATAATCATATTCTTCCAGCAAAACCCTAGTTTAGGGTTAAGGGGTGTAGGGTGTAGAGGTTTAGGGTTCAGGGTTCAGGGGTTTAGGGGTGTAGGGGTTTAGGGGTTTATGTTGGGTCTAGGGAGTAGCTTAAAATAGCAGGTTACTGAGTATAAAATATGTGGTTAGCAAGCTACTAGTTTGGTAACTGGAGCCCTAGGAAGAGACATAGGTTAATCTCGCAGTCACCGAGCATACTCGAAGCTCTACACTCTACACCCCGGAAACTGTTCTAATCTTCCAACGTCTTTTTCACAGGTGTAAACGGTCAGCATATTCAGATTCAGCATGTAATACAAGAGTCACAAGAACTAAAAGTACTGTAGCTTCGGGGTTCTTTACTTAACCTTCGTGCTATTCACCCCGAATGACCCGAAACTCCAAATAGGAAGGCCCCCCATATCAGGGTTCAGGCTTCGGGTGTTTGGGAACTCGCATCGCAAGCTACAGCAAGGACGGTCCGTGAACTGACACCCCAAAGACTCCAATATCCCTTAATCAAGGAATATACCTTAAATTATAGTAGGATCCCTAATATGATTTAAGGAATATTCCCTAATTAAGGGGTATTGGAGTCTCTGGGACATGAACAACAGAGGGACTCAAGGTAAAGGTGATCTTGACTGTGAGGATTCAGGCTTTAGGGATTACGTAGGGTCAGGATTTCGGCACTCACACTCGGACAATCCAGGAGAGGCATATGGTGCGAAGGTTAGGGCTTAGGGTTTGGGGTTAGGGCGTGTATGTAGCTTTACATAGCACACAGTCAGTGGCAGATCAGTCCAACGAAACGGAAGCACACCAGAACATGCGCTCGGCCGCATGCTTTTGGAGCAATGTCCTATATCATGCTTTACATATCAGGTATTGAATGTTAAATCTTTTTAGAACGATAAACACCATATGATACGTGATGCATTATGTCTGGACAGAATGTGGCGCCAAAGTAGTTTCAGAGTGCTGCCGCGTTGAACGAAAAGTTGAAAGACCATCGCAAGCCTCGAGCCTTGAAGCTTTCACGCGTAGATACAATTTGGGAGTTTCCGAAAATTGGGGGGTACCTTATTTTGGGGTCCTTATAAGAAGAAACCTACTATTTAGGGTTTCGGGTTCAATGTTTAGGGACGACCCTTGCAAAAGATGAGGCGCCACTTCAGACACGTCGAGGGCGCACAGGGTGGCAGACACCTCTGCCAACCTAGTTCGGGGAAGCTTCGGGTTTCTAAAGGAGGGTTTACCAAGGTTTAGGGTTGGACATGTTTGCGTCTGGGGTGCAGCACTCTACACGATACACTGAACCCTAAACCGGCTGGGAGTGGACTTGTCCACTGAAACACAAAAGCCCGTACAACTTGACTGCCCAGCTCAGGAAGCCCGGAACCCTAAACCCCAGGCACAAGAGACTTACTTGACTGGGCAACCGAAATCCCTGGAGGGATGGTGGGCTTTCGGGTTTTTCTTTTTTAGGAAGCTCCGAAAACCAAAGCCCTGAACAACATCTAAACTCCAAAGAAGATGAATTTCCTTTCCCCCTTGCGATCACGATCGATCACACCCAGTGACATGTAGACCCCTCCTGTATGTCAAAACTGAAAGTGGCAAATCCAACAGCAGCTATTCAATCAAAAGAGCAGCAAAACGGTGTCACAGAAACAGCCGCCTCCGTTGCCTCTTCCATGCCTTCAACTACAGTAGAAGCCAGAAAGTTGGAACATCCTTATCCTCATGCCCTTAAGGTAAAGTATAGGGAATCCCAGCGCGAATCATCCTAAATGCATGCTCCAACTTTCTGGGGTTCACTATAGATAGTTCAAACACAAGACATCGAGATCTGAACCGGCCCATCCACCAGCAAAAGCGGTCTCGGGTTTAGGTTAGAGTAGGGATGATATGGCAATATGACGATAATTACTATGCAATCTGAGCAATGGTTGTCTGCAATGTACGGAATATTTGGGGGCCTTCCGAAAATAGCGGACCCTAATCGAGTAATTGCCCTAAATACTAGGATCCCTATTCTAAGGACCCCAAAATAAGGTACCCCTAATTTTCGGAAGTTCCCATTTTTTGCCAGCAGAACTAAATGAATGCGTCGAAGGCATCGGACTCGAGCTAGAGCTGGTAGCTCACACAAGCATAGCAGATTCGGTAGAACGGCAAGCCCCCTTAGAACCATGATAAAAGTAGTATGTTGAGTAATCTATACGTATGGGTGGTTGTCAAAATTATGGTCCCTTTTTGGGGGTACCCTACCTACGTAAAAATTAGGTGCCGTATTGTAGTGGGGACCCAAAAAGGGACCCTAATTTTGACAACCACCCATATCCATCCCCTTGGAGTTTTACTTTAACAAAATCAAGAACTGCTCCCAAGAGCATTCTGGAAACAGCAACAGGACCTGTAGACAGGCATGTGCCTGAAAGCCGGCCTAATACGCCTGAGACCAGCGTGCTCGGAACTGTCTGATAAACGTCTCAGCACCAAGCTCGTCCAGCTTCTCTTTTCCGGAAGCCTGCTTGATGAGTCAGGTTGGGCATTCTTGCATTCTTGGAAGTTGTGGGTTTGCCGGCGGGGGGGCTTAAGCGCATTGCGCAAGGCTGATGGGAATTCTGCCTCAGGCGCTTCGAGCATGACAGTCCTCTTTATGCTCGATGCAGAAGGGTGATGATGGGTTTCAGTGGCTCTTGCGCAGCTTGGGTTTAATTACACTGCCAAAACGGTTGTTACACGAACGAATGAGCTGGTGAATGCATGAAAAACAACCCCACACAAATAAAAACCTGTAGTTCAGGGCTGAAGGTCTTTGAACTCAGCTCATGGAGCACCACCGTGTAGGGGAACATGTCTCCCTGAGCCCTATTGAAAGCCTCAAACCCTTCCGGTCTCCCGCAATTTCTGCCATCGTCGCATCGCGAGGCAGAAGTGAAGTCTGGAAGACCTCAAAAGGACACTCTAAGAACCTATCGAAATCAAGTCTCCTAATCCTAATGCAAGGCCCGCCCTAGTTGAAGGGCGGCCACGCAGCTGCGCCAAGCTGGCGCTCTTGACATCACCAGCTATTCCAGAAGCAAAGTTGCTCCCTTCGAGGAGATTCCGTGTGCTCTGCCCAGCAGTCTCACCGCTCCGACTTGTATGAACTGCAATCCCTATGTCCCTATGTAGTATTCAACAACTCAAAAAGGCTTCGGCACATCATCTGCCATTATACTCTCGATTGCAGAGCTGCTGGTTGCAGAGCTCACGCGTTGTGCTGACAGCACCAGCCTTAAGCTGTCCCCCTTGTTCTTCGTTCATGAAGACGGACAGTGATGGTTTTTCAACCGAGATCAGGGTGTATACGATAATGTGCACTCATGTCTGTCGGCAAGGTTCCCGATCGAGAACGAAGGGAAGTACATGCAGTGCACGCTGTGAAGACTGTTCCAAACGAGTCCAGCGTGAAGTTGAGTGCCTGGGACTGATCTCATCGTCAGGCCAGGAATTCGTGTCTTGCCCCAACTGCTTGTGACAGTATGCCGCGATGGCCTAGAGGCCGTGAGAAGCTGTTGGGCACGGGCAGCAAAGCATGTAAACCCTTTCCGAACGGTCGGCATGCAAGCGGCAGTTGGGGGTGCACGACTACAGTGCAACGAAGTCCCTGCAGCTGCATGCAGTCAAAAAAACTCTACAAAACGAATTTCGGATAATTTGGTGAGAGGTGTTGGATTCGCACGGGCATTAATCCAACTCCAAATGCTCGGCAAAATATATTCAAGAGTTCGGAGGACTTTCTGTCGGCTTGCTCAGCCAATGGTGCCCACGCCTCGGTGAGGCACCTTGGCTTCGAGCGGACGTCCACTTTGAGTGTTTAGGGGTTGAGGTGGTGTACAGGTGAAGTTTGGGCTTAGATCGCCACAAAGGGCTGCGGCTTCAGCCAAGCATTGTTAAACCTCAGCTCACAGCACGGCCCCATGCACACCGGCTCGCCCAGGCGGATTTGCTTGAAGGGAAACTACGCGTCCACGTCAGTTCGTTTGTTTTACCTGCTTAGCATAAGTGCCAGGCCTTACTAATTACACAGTGTTTGGTTTGCAAACAGTTGACAGCTATTTTGAGCAACCCACAGGCAGAATATTTATATATTAAGGAGGTGCAGGACAAAACCACTAGAACTTCCCGCAGGAGATGTGACAAAGACGACGTCGGCTAGCCCAACTTGTACTGCACTCCGCTGGCTGGGTGTGCACGGGCTCACCATTCTGCGCTACACACCTTCGACATGCAGACCAATGAAAACAACTAAGGTCGAGCCCCGGCAGGCATTTCAGAAGCGGTCTTCCCTTAGACTCAGTTTGCATGGTCAGCTCTCATGGGACCCTTCTGCAATGCGACGCCGGAACTCAATTCGGGGATCAGATCAGTCCCTCTCCGATCAAGAAAGTGCACCTCTTACGAGTCCCCCTTTGTGGGCACACAGGGCAGGTGTACGAACACGGGCACGGCGGCAGCTATGTACGCACCATGCTCCAAGGCCCGCCACCTCTCCTTCGTCCCTGAAACTTAGAACATGCTTTGCTTAGATTTACAAGGCCGTGTACGTGCTGTATAGATCCCAAAGGTTTACAAAAGAGCTTCAAAGGGGAGGGCGCCCAATCTCTCTGGAGGGCCACGGGCGAAACAATGCCCACGTGAGTCTTGTCTAGCTGTCCTGCTTCAGGAATCGGTGTGGCTCGATCCAGCCCTTCTCCACCGACTCTCGATAACCTCGGCAAGAGCGTCCATAATATGGGGCCTTAAAAATTAGAATAGGGTTTTGGGGCCCATTATACTCTAATTATAGCAAGGATCACCCAAAATCGTATAGGTAATGATCGAGGCCCCTATAGTTCGCCGGGAAACCTTTTGGGCCTTTGGGTTTGGGGTTTAATCTCGGTCCTCCGAGCTATTTAAACTTTAGGTGCCATCTGATCCCGATTGAATGATCTCTTGACCCTAATTCCCTAAAGCCGGAAACCGAAATGCTAGACTCTAAAGCCTAAGTCCTAAACCCTAATCCCTTTTGCTGCAGGCCTGCTTGCAAGGACGCCTGGTAGCCCTAATCCCTAAACCCTGAAATCTGAACCGGATCTGAACCCTTAGGATGTCCTTAAGGGGGGGTGGTCCAAGGGGGATAGGTAACCTAGTAATCCCCATTATTACCCAATACTCCCTAAGCTTCCCTAAGGTTCCCCAAAGCTCCCTAGTACCCTCCCCCCTTGAACCACCCCCCCTTAAGGATCCTATAAAACCCTGAGTCCCAACCCTAAACCCGAAAAAAACTGAACCCTAAACCCTAGACTCTAAACTCAAACACCTAAACCCCTAAACCCCTTGAAACCCCTAAACCCACACACCCCTACACCCCCAAAACCCCCTAAACCCCCCAAAACCCCTAAACTCCTACACTCCTACACCCCCCTAAACCCCCCTAAACCCCTAAAAAACTGCGCTCCTACACCCCCTAAACTAACCTAAACCCCCACACCCCTGAAACCCCTAAACCCCCACAAAAGTGCTCCCCAAGAGGCTCCAGTGGGGCCACCCCTCGCGGGCCATCTTGTAGTTCCAGAAGAACCATCCAAAGGTCTGGGCTTTTTCGGGCTTTAGGATTTAAGGATTGATGTTTTTTTTTGCACGACCCTTTTCCGTCTCGCCTGATTCAGAAAGTGAACTTTCGCTGGGCGTTTGGTCCGGTTGAGGGGTTTAGGGGTTAGAGTTTCCATACTGTAGAGTTTAGGGGTTTAGGTGTTTGGGGGTTTAGGGGTTTAGGGGTCTGGGGGTTTATAGGGTGTAATCGTGCATGTAGTTATAGTTCCAGAAGAAGCATCCAAAAAGAGCTCGGCTTTAGGACTCGGTGTTTTTGGGCCAGAGCAGCTAGAGGGTTGGGTTGAGTTTAAGGCTTCAACTGTCATCGTCTAGAATTTTGATTTTCAGGACTCAAGTCTCGAGTTGAGGGCTTAGGGCTTCGGGGTTCAAGTTTAGCGCAGGTTACTGATCGAGAAGGGATGTGGGATTAGGTTTAAACCAGCGCTTCGGACTTGGGGTTTGGGATCTAAAGTGCCGGAATCCGTGGCCGTGACACCAGAATCAATTCTGTGGGATTTTTACGCCCCGAAAACTAGACCCTGCCCCTCCCTCCCTCACACAAACGAATAAACCCTTCTCGAACCAACCAAGCCTTTAAAGAAACCCTGCTTAAGCCGATACAAGAACCCAGCCTCATTCAAACAAAACATCTCGAGGCCAAAGGTCTAACAGCTGAAAACAGTTCGCATAGGGTCTTGGGGTATACTGTACAAGCTCACATAGGGACGGGACGAGTAGGGGATGCTGCTGTTGATGATTTAAATCCTGCATGACCCATTATAGGGAATATACCATAATGCCCATAGTTTCGGGTCCTTAAGGTAATGCAGGATTTATATCATCAAGCGTAGTACTGCTCATTCGCAGACCCTCATAAAGAATCCGCATATAAACCCTGATAGCTAGAGCTATTACAAGTTCATTCTTCGGACCCGTGCCTAAAACCCCAAACCCTAAACACCCAAATCAGCCGAAGCCGAAGGGCGTGTTTCTCAGCCAGGCCCACTTGGCGTTGGAAGAATTGCTGGGGCCAGTTGCTCCGACTCTGGTAGCCTCGGGCTTAGAATTTCAGTTTTCCCGGAGAGGCCAATACCCCTTATTTAAGGAATATAGCTTAAATCATCATATGAAGCCCTGTATAATTTAAGCCATATTCCCTAAGTAAGGGGTATTGCGCTCTCTGGGTTCGGGTCTGCTCTATGGTTCGGCGAAAGCCTGAAGGAGCTAATGGCTTGAAGTGAAGATTTTTGGGTGTAGAGGGCTCGAACTAAGCCCTGGGTTCTATTTCCAAACCTGAAAGCTCTCGGGAGTTCCTTCCCATGCGGTATACTTCTGGATCTGTGCATGTCATCCTTGCTCAGGGGCCATGCCAACCTTCTCTGTGCAGTTCCATCTTTATCGGGTGGATAATTGTTGTTGTCTGTATTTAGGGCACCAAAAGTATGTTGAATAGTAGCCTTTTCTAGACCTTGGGATACTCGTTTACCTACTTTTGGGAGTTTTGGCAGGGTTTAAAATTCAGGGTCTCGGGGCCAGTTCTGCCGAAAGGCTTCGGGGCTTCCGAGGATCGGCTAGGGGTTGAAGGCCATAAGCCCTCAACTCGGAGTACTTCGGGGGATCCGACAACCCAGTATGCCAGTAAGCAGGATATGGGGGATTTCCGAAAACAGGCGATCCGAATATACACGCAGCACCCAAAATAGTAAAAATCATTATTATAAGGACCCAAAATCAGGTACCCCTTATTGTTGGAAACTGCCATATGAGTTAACGTCTCGGAGCCCCACCTCCTGCAACACCAAACGCTGGACCTCTCAAGCCCTGAATTTTTTAGCCCCCGAAGCCTCTAAACCCGTAGCCCTAAGCCCCCAACCCTCCCATTCTAAGCCTTTGGAGAAATCAAAAAACCTCAGACTCTGTTACCCTAAAGTTTAAAGACCCTAAGACCCTGATCATCCAAAGCCCCTAAACCCACCAACCTAAAGCCTTAGCACCCCCAATCCCCTCATAGCATTCCCTTACATGAACCCTCAATCAAAGGGGAAAAGGAGGGACCCTTAATAAGGACCCCTAGGCATATACCCTTAATATAGCCATTATATACCCATTAGACAGCCCATTATAGGGGTAGGGGTTTCCATTAAGGGTCCCTCCTTTTCCCGTTTGACTCAAGGAACTTTTAAGTCTGACCCAAAAGGAACCCTAAACGGCACTCCCAACCCCAAAAAGGCCTAAACCCTTTAAGCCCCCTGAACCCGAAACTCACTGACCCTCACGGAACCCTCAACCTCAACGGAACCGAAGGAACCCCCTAACCCTGGGCATCACAATAGCCCAAAAACCTCATATAGTATGGTCTTTGGGCCCAAAAGTCTTAATATATGGGTAGTTGTCAAAATTATGGCACCTTTTGGGGGTACCCTAAATATTAGGTGCCGTATTATAAAAAGGACCCAAAAAGGGACCATAGTTTTGACAACCACCCATATGAGTCCTTAGATGCCTAGGGTAAACGGAACCCTCAAAGGAACACGGAACCCTACAAAAAGGAACCCCACAAAGAACCCTAAACCCCAAAAGCCCTAAACCCTTAAAACCCCCTAAACCCGAGACTCACTAACCCTCAAGGAACCCTCAACGGAATCGAAGGAACCCCCTGACCCTGGGCATCAACACAGTCCAAAAGCCTTATATAGTATGATCTTTGGGCCCAAAAGCCTTACTATATGAGTCCTTAGATGCCCCCCCCAAAATGAGGTGCCCGTAAATTTTTAAGAAACTCTAAACCCTAAACCCTTTATAGAACCTTTACAGTACCTAGGGTAAACGGAACCCTCAAAGGAACACGGAACCCTACAAAAAGGAACCCTAAACCCCAAAAGCCCTAAACCCTTAAAACCCCCTAAACCCGAGACTCACTAACCCTCAAGATACCTTCAACCTCAACCCTAAACCCTAAAGCCTAAACCCTAAACCCCCTAAACCCTCCAACCCCAAGCCCTAAACCCCCTAAACCCCCTAAACCCCTAAACCCCCTAAACCCCCTAAACACTGCAACCCTAAGCCCTAAACCCTAAACCCCCTAAATCCCCTAAACCCTGCAACCCTAAGCCCTAAACCCTCAAACCCCCTAAACCCTGCAACCCTAAGCCCTAAACTCACTAACCCTCAAGGAACCCTCAACCTCAACGGAATCGAAGGAACCCACCCCCTAAACGGAACCCTCAAAGCCCCTGAAAGGCCAAATTGGAGGCCTTCGGCCTCGGGCTTCAGTGCCAGGGAGAACTCTCCGAGGATCCTTTGAGGCTTAGGGCTTTAGGGGTTTTTACGGTTTTTTAGGGGTTTTTAGGTGATTTTAGGTGTTTTTAGTGGTTTAGGGTTTTTAGGGTTTTAGGGTTTTTAGGGGTTTTAGGGGTTTTTAGGGGTTTTAGGGTTTTAGGGTTTAGGGGTTTTAGGGGTTTAGGGTTTTTAGGGGTTTAGGGTTTTTAGGGGTTTAGGGTTTTTAGGGGTTTTAGGGGTTTAGGGTTTTTAGGGGTTTTAGGGGTTTTTAGGGTTTTTAGGGGTTTTAGGGGTTTTAGGGGTTTTAGGGGTTTAGGGTTTTTAGGGGTTTAGGGTTTTAGGGTTTTTAGGGTTTTAGGTTTTAGGGTTTCGGGTTTTAGGGTTTCGGGTTTTAGGGTTTAGGGCTTAGGGTTTTTTCCCTCTCGCATGGCAGGAAACTCTTAGATGGGGCCCCTTTGAATGCACCCCGGAAAGGTCAAGTTGCATGAGGTCGGTTTGCCTTTGTCTAACCTCGCCTGTGGACATTGTTTCCTGCCATGCGAGAGGGAGCGGGGTTTAGGGTTTAGGGTCAGGTTTTTAGGGTTTGCACTCTCGCAACTCGGACTGCGCCAGCCGAGGTCTCTCGATCCGCGTGACACTTATCGCTAGCCACTGAAGTGCAAGGTTTAGGGTTTGGGCGGAGAGCTCTCCGGATCCTTTCGGCTGAGGGTTTTCGGGGGCTTTAGGGGCTTCGGGGGCTAGGGTTTAGGGCTTTTGGGGGCTTTAAGGGCTTTAGGGGTTTCTGGGGTATGGTCTGAGGCGGTTAAGGGGATAGGGTTTAGCGGTTTAGGCATTTGGGAAAGACAGTCGTGCAGAGAGCTTTTCACATGCGTGACGCCGCTAGCTTTTCAACAAGTCTTATCTCAGCCCCTAGGGCTGCAGTTACCCAAATAGTAATGAAGGAACCTGATTCAGAAACCCTGGGCCTATAACCCCAAAATAGTACAGGTAGGGTTCATATAAGGAACCCAAGGTTTCCTAATCAGGTTCCACTAACCGTACAGTTTGTACCCCGGTAACCTATCATGTAGGTAAGTGGGGCCCTTGGGAGTTTGAAGTTGACATCAACAGCGAATAAATAGGGTCGGGTGTTGGTGCTCAATATACGATAACTAATGATAACAAGGAGCCTCCAAAATAGTACAGGTAATTCTGAATGCCCCTATATTATCTTATATCAGGGAGCCTCCAAAATAGTACAGGTAATTTATTAAGGCCCCTACATGATCATCAGTCATGAACACTGAATCCCGAACTCAGAACGCGCCGAGAGGCACAGGGAATGGCCGGAAGTCTTGCTCCACCAAGATCTTGGAGAGCTCTTCCGTCTGACAGGCCAAAGGAAACTCTAAACCCTAAACCCTAAAGGCAACTCCAGAAAGTTGGAATGTGGTTTCATGGTAGGATACCCTATAATTTACCATGGAAGGGTTAGGATCATCATATTCCAACTTTCTGGCTTTTACCCTAAACCTTGGGTGTGGGAGGTTTGGACTCACACACTCGCACAAGGCAAGCATGGCTTCAGGCGCTAAGTCCGCTGAGCTTGCTACTTGTACACCAAGCGACAAAACGGGATTAGCAACACCAAGGCCTCCCACATGAGGGTTTAAGGTTGAGGGTTTAGGGCTTCAGGTTTAAGGCTTAGGGGTTCAGCGTGTAGGATTTCTACTAGGGAGGCTTTACGATTCGGGTTGTAACCGCCCATATCAGGATGATGGCAAGAACTGCATAGCTCAAGTAGTGCAGTATCTGGCAACAGTAGGTTCGTAATCAAGGCATGTTGATTCTAAGAAGGACGTCTTGACTGCTTCAGTTGCTTCGACCGCATCGTGCAGAAATACACTCTAGGTTGTGCAGCTATGGAACCTTGAAAGAGAACATCAAAGCCTATGTGCTCCAAACAGAGAAGCCCAATCCTGAGTGTAAAGCTTTCAACCTTGCAGACTGTTCGCACAACCAAGCAGTCTGGCCTGTAGGTGCTCCTCCACGCTTCCCGCCTCATCTGTCATGCACTGGTAGTGGTGATAGTCCACCACTATGCGGCCGGAGACCTTACAGCTAGCACCAGTGTGTCTCCGTGGGTATGAGATGCCATGCCATCACCTCTTTCTCAGTACGCACTTGTTGTTTCTGCTCCGGAATTGCCACCGATAGCAACATTGCCATTAGCACCATTCCAGCACGTTGTGCAAGCTAAATGGCACATGTAAAAGACTAGCCCCGTTGCTGCCATTGATCGCTGTAAGATCATGCTGCCCTTCCGGCCACAACGAGCAAATTACTACTCCTGCTCCTATTCCTTCACGGGAAGCCTGACACCTGCCCTCCTCCTCCCTCTCCTCCTCCTACTTCTCTTCCTCCCCGTTTTTGTGCTGCTTTCACTGCTACTATTACCACTACTACCCTTACTAAGCTACTACCGCCACCACCACCCCGACGACAGCGGCGGCGGCGACGATGCCAACCTCGAGGCGACTACTACTACTACTACTACTACTACTACTACTACTACTACTACTACTACTACTACTACTACTACTACTACTACTACTACTACTACTACTACTACTTCTATTGCTACTACTGCTACTACTACTACTACTACTGCTGGTGGTGATTCCTTGCACGTCCTCAACCGACATCTGTATAAAAATGTATGTATGTATAATATATATATATATATATATATATATATATATATCGTCTCAGACTAGCTTAGACTAGCTGTGGAGAGCTAGATATGCAAGACATGCCATGCTCAGCCGCTGTCGCGCTGCCTATACCAAGAGCCCATTGCCCCTCAAGTTGAGAATACACCGCAGACCACATAGGGATTCTTAATGTGAGCTCAGCGTGAACAAAAGAAGCTTTAGGTTCTCCGGGTCTGTGGTGGCCAGGATGCTCCATGAAGCTTATCCAAGGTCCAGCGGTCGATGTCCCAGCATGTGTCGAGTACCTGGAAACAGCTAACCCATGGATTTGAATAAATTCACACAGCTTTGCTTGGGGTTCCTGAGCCTACATATATAGATATCCACTCATGTACTAATGTATTTATTTAGCTGTAGCAGCTGGTTCTCATACCCAACCGTACTCTTGTTAGCCGAATTGTTTCATTATCAAGGCCCCTCTATCTTGGCTCCGGGTTTAGGACTGGTGCATCGACGTAGGCAGGCTTCAAAAACTTTGCCCGGAGGACTCGTTCCTTGAATCTTACCCTGGGGTCTTTAAGGCCTTCTATTCAAGGGCTGGTCGGCCCAACGACCATACTAACTCAGGCCCTGGCCCAAGGGACAATTTATCTGGCAGTTTCCGACATTCTGGGTACCTTATTATGGGGCCCTTATAATAAGGATCCTACTATTTAGGGTACTATGTTAGGTCCCCTATTTTCGGAAACTCCCATCTCTATCTCGCACCATTCTCTCAACAGCATGCGACACGAGAGTCACAACCTTGTACGCTCCAGCCAGAACTCTTACATTGCTGTGCTACACAGTACAGTGGACGTTACGTATTTGGAACAGTGTTTGAGGGCAAGGAAAACTGTGCCCAAATCAAGGAACCCCAAAAAATGGCCTTGACAATTGTTGAAGCCTGTTTTATACATGCCAAGCCCAGATGTACCGAGAAAACAAAACCCAAAACCCTAAACTTTTTGCAACTGGCTTGCAACGTAAAACCCTAAACTTGAACCCTAAACCCTAAACGGTCATCCATCCAGATCGCCACTCCCCCGGCACCCAATCTACACAGCCTAGAGCTCACCCGGCCAGGTTTCCCGCAGCCGCACTCACAGCACTCATAGCACTTAACCCTAAACTTCCGTATGGGTGGTTCTCAAAATTAGGGTCCCTTTTCGGACCCTTCATCTAATACGGCACCTATGATTTAGGGTACCTGAAAGGGGGACCATAATAACCGCGTGCATAGGCCGGGCCGCTAAAAGGACGTCGCGGTGGAGCAGAGGCTCGACGAGCTCTGCCGCCTCGGCATAGAACCTGGCCACTTCCACCTTCACGGGCATCTTCGCTTGGAGCGTATGGTCAAAGGGGAAAAGGAGGGACCCTTAATAAGGACCCCTGGGTATATACCCGTAATATCGCTATAAGAAACCCTTCATATAGCCCATTATAGGGTAGGGGTCCCCATTAAGGGTCCCTCCTTTTCCCCTTTGAGTATGGTTTACTTGGAGGTTCATGGTTTTTTGTGGGGCTATATCTAGGGTAACTATGGTTATAACCCCTACTAGGGGACTTATAACCCCATGAACCTCCAAGTAGGGTTGGCTGAGGGCTTTCCTGCTTTCGGTCTTGCCATGCCTGGCTTCTGACCGAAGGACCTATGGATCACTGAGAATAGTGGAGACATTCTGCTCGAATTCTGCGACCGCAAGGGTCTCTAAATCGCTTTCTCCCATGGCCTGCCACCAAGTCCAAGAACCCCTCACCGGAAAGGATGACAAGAAATGTAAGGGTGTGCAAAGGCCTGAACCCACCAACCTTCAGACGCAGAACCCTAAAACCATAAACTCCGAACCCCTCAATCCTGAAACTGAAACCCTTAGCCGTAGAACCCCAAAATCGTCGCTGATGCTGCCCAGGCACCCAGTAGCTCCGTGGGTACTCCGGCGTGAAGCAGGAAACCATAGACGCCTTAATGGGTCATTAGAAGACTTCCTGGCAGAGTTGCTCTCAGGGTTGCTAAAGGGATTTCTCGACGAAGAGTATTGAAGCGGGTGACTCTACGGGTAAGTTATGGGATGGTTAAGGGTCTGGTCTAGATAGGAGTTTCCGAAAATAGGGGGTAACTTATTTGGGGTCCTTATAATGGGGATCCTACTATTAAGGGTGCTATACTAGGGTCCCCTCTTTTCGGAAACCCCCAGATAGTTGAGAGCAAATTTAGGAGGTTAGGGTTTGGGGTTCAGGTTAAAGAAAACTTTACGGAGAGCAGCTTGGAACCAATCTCCCCCGGTTCAAATGCTGTTTGCAAAGAAGCCCCCTGAAAAATAGAGCTAAGGGTCCAAATACATCTAAGTCGGGTTTTGGGGTTCAGGACAGTAGGCTCCCAAAACCATCTGAATGCGGTTTTTGGGGTTTAGGATGGCATGCACTTCTGCTGGAATTTACAGTCTGTTGTCATTAACACATGGGCTCTTAGGAGGGAGGAACCCTGTTCTACCTAACGTAGGGGCCTGAACAATTAGAATTGGGCTTTTGGGGTCCACCATACTGTAAACATAACAAGGAACCCCCGAAATAGTTGTGGTAATTATGTGGGCCCCGGTATTAATTAAGCCGTTTGCGGCACTTTAGGTTAGTGTTCGAACCTGCGACCTAAACTCAAGACGAGCAGTTAAGGTCTTGTTACGGCGACGAAGGGAACACAACATGAACTGTAAGGTTTAGGGCTTAGTGTTTGGGATTCAAGGTTTTAGAAGTCAGTGTCTACGGTACCTTGTTGAGGAGTTGAGGTCTTGTTACGGCGACGAGACGAAGGGAACACAACGTGAACTGTAAGGTTTAGGGCTTAGTGTTTGGGATTCAAGGTTTTAGAAGTCAGTGTCTACGGTCCCTTGGCTTACAGTAAAGGGAAGACACACCTAAACCCTAAACCCTAAACCACGCAATAAAACAGTCTGCAGCTGGGTCACGACTCGGTCCATCACTGTTTGCTCTTTCTCCGCTACCTGGTTCAGGGGTTCAGGCCCGCCAAAGCAAGCCGTCAGCCCAACCACAGTCTAGCCATAAAGGGTGCAGGCTTTGTGCTTAAGGTTTAGGGTAGGTTTAGGGTATAAGTGTTGAATGCTTAAGGCTAGAGAACTTAAGGTTTAAGGTTTAGGGCTCTCCAATCTGCCGAAACCAGTAGGTGCGCTGTGAATCTAGGACGAATACACCGCCAAGCTTCAATCACAAACTGTATCCACCCCCAGTAAACTCATAGTGCCCGTATGGGAAACAACCTAAACCTTAAAATCCCTAGCCAGTGCCTCGTTTCCAAGGCCGAGACCAAGCAGAGCCTGCTCGCGCTTTCTTGTTTGGGGCTTGGTTTAGGGTTTAGGGTTTAGGGTTTAGGGGCGTGTAAACCGCTTCGGGTTGCTTTGTGGCTTTGGGGGCCCTTGCGTCTTGGTTGTTGTGTGTGTGTGTGTGTGTCTTGAGAATTGGCCTTTAGGCTTTATAGGGCTTATGCTAGACCCAAGACCCTAAACCCTGTAGGACTTAGGGTGAAAAAGTCTCAGGATCTTCGGCTCCAACGCCTCGGCATTTCAGACCGAAGGTTCCAAACCCTCAACCCTTTTTTTGAACCCAGGCTCTGCTGATCAACCCTAAACCCCAAACCCCTCAACTCTAAATCCGAAACCTTAACCCTAAACCCCGAACCCCTAAACCCTGCACTCTAAACCCTCAACCCTAAACCCCCTCTACCCGAAACCCCTAAACCCATAAGCCCCCCTGCCCCAAACCCGAAGTGCAGAGAGCTGCTGCCGACCTTTCGGTGGCCCCAGCGCGCCGCGACGGCACGGACGATCTCTAAGTTCTTCCTTAGGAGTTTACGGTTTAAGGTTTAGGATTTAGAGTTTAGGGGTTTGGGTTCAGGGGTTTGGGGATTAAGTGATTTAGGAGGCTTGGCTTAGGGCTGCTGTGTTTTGGGTTTAGGGTTTAGGACTTGGGGCCGCAGGGTTTTGGGGTTTAGGGCTGGGCTGTTGGGGTTACGGGTTGGGGTTTAAGGGTTTCAGCACTCACTCTTAGGGTTTAGGGGTTTGGGGTTAAGGGTTGGGGTTTAAGGGTTTAGGGGTTAAGGGTTTAAGGGCTTAGGGCTGTTGGGTTTAGTAGGGTTTAGGGTGGATGGGTCTAAGGTTTTAAGTGGTTTGGGGTTTGGGGGTTCAGGGGTGTTGGGTTTTGGGTTCCAGGTTTAGGGGTTTAGAGTTGCTATTCCAAAGGCTTACGGGATCTAGCGCTTTCAGTTCGGGGTAGTGTGAAGGGCTCTGGCATGCAGTTTTGTGAGGGTTTAGACATGCAGGGCGCCGTGTGAAGAAGTGTAGCAGGAACCTCAAAGCAGCCTTCATGGGGCCCGTAAAAGCCCTAAGGCGGGCTTTCAGGGTACACTAGAGCTTAGAAGGCCCCCCCAACCCTGTAATAGTGACTGTAAGGATTATATTAGGGTCCTATTATACTCCTATGATACCACTATTACAGGGTGGGGGGTCCTTCTAAACCAGAGCATAGCTGAGGCCTATGTTGAGGATTTTGAGGCTTCGGGGGCTTTGTAAAGATTGAAACAACCGAAGCTCTGGAACCCAAATCCGTCAAGCCAAAACCCCAGGGGTCAAAATCGCCCAAAAGCCTTCTGTAGTTTGGCCTTTGGGCCCACAAGCCTTAATATATGAGTCCTTCGATCCCTATGCAAAGCGGCCCTTCTGCCCACAACTCTGGAATCGAAGCCCTTAACCCTGGAAGTCCGCGTGTTTCACTGGTGAAAAACAGGTCGGGGCCTGGATAAGCAGACTTGGCTCTCGGGGCACATGCTAGTATAATCATATAACGACTTTAATGGCTAGAGCGGGGTACCTCCATTATGACCGCTCACAACCAAAGAGCCGTGCTCAAGAATCTATATATTTCGCATCCATGATAACCCCATCGCGCGGCTTGGCAAACCACCACCACGACCCTTATCAGACTGCACCCAGCAACCAAGTACATTCATATGCAAGACGAGAGAGCACCCCAACCCAGTATTCCATTGTGACGGACTCACAGGATTTAGGGTTTAGGCTATGCTCGAGTCACAGTTGCTGGTTGTTGTCGGCCCGAGCTACTGAGAATAAGCGCAAGAGCAATCTACACAAGCCGCAGGTAGAGACTTCCACAGGGAGTAAGTCCTGCCCACCTGATTGTATAAGTGAGAGCTTCGGGGCTTAACATAGAAGCTTGAATAGATACGCATACGAATCCCTTAGTATATCCGGCTTCTATCTGTCACGGTGTAGGGTGTGAGGGGACACTCTTTCACTGCTTGGCCACCGAGTTTCTCACGGTGCCTCGGCTCGAGCCAGTTCACTTTGCCACTCTGGCCGCTGTGATGTTCACCTGTGTTTAACTTGAGTTATTGGCTATTGGGTTTAAGGTTTCGGGTTTAGGGATGTTCGCCTTTTCTTACTGGTGCTGCAGGGGTGGGAGAGTGGATCTCTGTAATAGTCCATACATCATCCTGGGTAGCAGTCCCTGTGTTCCCTCCACTCTCCCTTGGCTTGGTAGTGTTCAGACCTTAAGCTAGGGGCAGTGCCTCGTGGGGTTCCTGGGGCAAGCGCGACGAGGACGCATTGGTATGGTCGACAGGGTTCTTGGTTTTGGGTTTCAGGTTTCGGATTCACGGGTTAGGGTCAGGCGTCCCACGACAGGGTAACAGTTTTCATTTTCTGCTCGAGACGTGGTTTACGGTTTCACAAGTGAGCCGCAATGAAGAGCAAGATCACTTCACTTGATAATCCCCGTGTAGCCGTGATACGGTGCAGGCAGCATGTGCACCAGCACTCCGCCGTAAGTACTGATGATGGGAGGCCGAAAAGGGGGATTTAAGATTCTTGGGGTAGGGATTCCTTAAGATGAACCCTATTCTGGGAAGCCTAATCCCTACTAAACCCCCATAGGCTAAAACCCCTTTTGGCCTCCTATGATGCCCTTATAGATCCCTTCAAAGGAACCCTAGGGATCCCTAACCTTCCATAGGCTAAAACCCCTTTCGGCCTCCTATGAACTGAAGCTCCCCGAGGGTGGAAGCTCCCGGTTCTGATGGAAATCCATGTTTCGGGTTGATGATATGGTGAATCCTAGGGCTCCTTTAAAGGGATCTATAAGGGTACCTTTAGGGGTTCCTTTAAGGGATCTATAGGGTTTCAGGGTTTAGGGTTTAGGGGTGGTGATATACATCCTGCATTACCTGAAGGACCCTGAACTATGGGAATTATGGTATATTCCTTATTATGGGTCATGCAGGATTTATGACATCAGCCGTAGGGTTGGGGGTTCAGGGCATCGGTGCTTGATGTAAACCTGGTGCACTGCAGGCAAGGCACTGGTAACTAATATCAGTGATACTCATGATCACAACTAATCTGAATGAGGAAACACTGCTGGCAATAATCGCAATAATAACAACGGCAAGGATAAATATTATGATCATAACTAGTCAGAATGACCAAATTCTTATGGTATAAGCACAATAATCACAACGGCAAGGATAAAAGCATGATCAACACCAACAGTGTTTGGACAGGGCACCGTTTTGCGAGCCAGACATGCCGTGCAGGTCCAGAAGCACTTTCAAGCCATACCTCTCCGCCCAGCCGAACCTGGGTTTAATATACGGGCCTTAACATAATTACAATAGGGTTCCTTCAAAGGGTATCATAAGGGGTCCTTTAAGGCTATACTGTAAAGGTTTAGTATAGGACCTTTATTCTTGGAATAGGGTTTTGGCTTATCGTAGTATAAGAATAATCAGGAACCCTCACGGTAATGGTTCAGGCTTCTACGTCTCGCTCCCACAACTCGGAATGGCCCGGAGATGTCTCGCGGAGCGCGGTCGGACCTAGTGAAGCTACTACCGGAAGCAGCTCCAACCGAGCTCAACCGAAACAAACGAGGGTTTAGACTTTAGCGCTTAGGCCCTAAACCCTAAACGGGCTTAGGGTTTAGATTCGGCAAAAACTTTTGAAGCTTCTATAGTGCGCTTCTGGATTGATGAGGCTTGACGCTTCGGGGATCCTCTAAGTTTGCCGATGTCTTTCGCACCGAGTTGCAAAGCGTCAACCAGGTGCTGTGTAGAGAGATAAGGTGTGCCTGACTCACTGGCCCAAAACCCAAGGAAATAAGAGTTGAAACTTTCAGAATCGACTACCTTGTAAGAACACCAAAATTTGAAAAGTTGAGTTTACAGCCAATAAGCTGACGAGTTGTGAAGGTATTCTTGGTATTCTTAGATATGTCATGTAAAGACGGAGCCAGCGAGAAGGTAAATTGCACATGAAAGCACCTACATGATGCATATTCTGTCTTTCATGCAGAAAGACTTGTGAGGTCGCAGTCAACTATATGAGAGTTTCTGGGAATAAGGAACCCGTATTATAGACTCGAACTAGTTGGATGATGAACATAAGGACCACGCGTAAAGCACCTCCAGATTTTCAGCGAATACTAATATATTTAAACCCCTATCAACCTGTGTGAGCCCGTTTAACATCTTATCAAACCCTTAAACCTAAACCCTGAACCCACAGGAAACCGTAGAAACCGATTCATGGCCTCTTCTGAGTGCTTGGAGCATACAGTTCCCAGATCTTCGGCGCAAAGAAAGAACAATGTTCCACAAAGACTTGCTGGGTCTTAGGGCTTTCGGGGTTAGGCTCGTGATTTAGGGTGTGGGGCCTCCAGATTCTGTTCATGTCGGCTTTAGGTCGTTGCCTTACCTTAGCCCTGAATAACCTAGTATGTTTTCTTTATATAAGTCGTTAAAAGGGTAGGTTCTTTGGGGTTAAGGTAGGGTTTCATGATTTTAGGCCTCAGGGTCCTGGGTTTGGGGGAGAAGGGTTGGACGGTAGAAGCTAAAGTAGGCTTCAGCAGGGCTCCCGCCTTTGGCATACTCATCAAGGCACCAATACCTGAGAAAGCAACTGGGAGCTGAAACAGAAGAGGAACAAGCCCGGCAACCAACTGCCAAATGATCCCGGCGGCCTGTGATGGGAACACTGAATGAGGGTTCAGGGTTAGCTGAGGTTGGCTTTGTGATTCGGGGACCACCATCGCCGACAGCTTCGTGTTGTCAATGTTGGGATACAAAATCCTTATGCAACTGGCGTGACGTTAACCCCTAAAACCCCTTTCTTTGGGACTCAACCTAAACCCCAAACCCTAAAACCTAAACCTCAAGTCTAGCCAGACCACGACATGCACCCTAAACCCTAAACCCTAAACCCTAACCGAACCCTGAACCTGTTGGAATACCAAGCGTAGCGCGTAATCCACGGCTCAGCGGGATTTGGATGTGTGGCGAATCTACAAGTATGTGACCTCCTTCTTTGAACCTTCGGATAATAAGGAAACCCTATGTTGGGGATCTATCAAGGTTCCTTTAAGGGTTTCGGCTCTAGGGTTTAGGGGATTAAGACACCATAATCCTACTTCCCCTGTTATGAGTAAAGTCTTCCGAACAGCGTCCGAATCTTTCCTCTACCAAACTGCGCATTTGCCTCCTGCTGTGACGTATGCTGAATGTTTGCTGGATTTCGAACTTAACCGTAATGAAATTAATATGTTTGATATTCTCTTGGGTATTGTATGAACAAAATGTTTATAAAACACGCCTAAGGAGACTATAGAACACGCTTCACTTTGGTTTGTCTTCGCTGGCTGGTGGGGCACTAGCGCGGATCCCTTAGTCCCGAAACTGCCATGCCTTAAACGGTTCAACTCCAAACAGACCTCACTCTTGAACCTCAAACCCTGGGCATCAAAATAGCCCAAAAGCCTTATATAGTATGGTCTTTGGGCCCAAAAGCCTTAATATATGACTGCTTAGATGCCTAGGGAAACCCCGTTTTTGCTACTGGGCTTGAGGACTAGCCAGATCCGCTCGACTTCTATCATACAACCCCTTTTTGCAGAACCCTAAACCCGTTTTCCTAAAGACCCTTAAACCCTAAACCCCGCACCCCATATGCTTCAACCCCGCACCAGAAACTATCGTAAGCCCCCACCTGCCAACCCTCAGACCCTGGAGCCCTGAAGGTTACAGCCTGGCATACGGGCCGGAATATTTAGAGCAAGTTTTTTCAGCACTTTATTTACATGATAAGTGTATTGAGATTATCTAAGGGAGATAGTCTTATCTTTATCACTTCTTCAGAACCCTTGCTGACTTATTGCTGGGGCCCCTCAACACGAGACTGGCAAAGTGTACTTACCTACGACATCGTGATTTCTTGCAATGTATACTCCAGGAGACTCCACGGCCGAATGCTTGGAATAGGGTTCGGGGGTATATTACTTGGAGGTTCATGGGTAGTTACAAACTGGAGTAACCCCTAATAATGGTTATAACTATAGTTGCCCAAATCATAACCCCACTTATAACTACCGTTTGACGGTTTCACTAACTATTTGGGGGCCAGAGGGGATGATGTCACTCAGTATTCCGATCTCTTGGCTGCATTGAGCACTAGCACGAACACATTCGCTGTATGTTGAGACATCTCTAGAGTTTGATAGCAGAGAGGTGACTTGCCCGCATGTTCTTGCTCACATCTTGGGTCTGCATGCTTTTATTCGCCAGTCATTTGCCAAGGGGAACACGCCGATGACCAGTGAGACACATCGTGTAACCAGCGATTGGATCTTGCACAAGCTGGCAAATTGCCCTCAACCGGCATTAATGCAAACTCTCTGCTGCCAGGCAACCCAACGGGCAGCCGCACAGCATCTATTCCGCCTTCGGTTTTCAGCCATCGGATGTCCTGGTCGTTGCAATCGTTGGTCTTGTTACCGGTCGGTTGGTGGTTCCGTCTGTGGTACTTGTCTGGTCGTGGTTTGGTGTCTGGTCGGTGGTGGCCGGCCGTCGGCAGTGGCTAAGGGGGCCAGCAACCCGATGCAAATCGCGCTCAGCCGCAAAAGGCAAGGGACTCACCATTGTTGGGATACCAACATGTCCTAAGTCTTTATAAACCTCTTGAATTCGTAGAAAACATTGAGACAACTCGAGAAACCAGTTCTAAAGTTCTCTTGGAACCTTCGGGAAGCCTCTGTACAAAGCTTCAAGTTGTCTTCTGTTTTGGTCCTGCTCCGTGATGAAAGTCCGTCTGAACTCTCGGACGGCTTCACCTTAGCTCAGGGTTCGGGGTTTTGAGCTCATGCCTTCGTCATCACCACATCATGTTCGTGACATCATCCATGGCGATGGAGATGTGGCCACCATGAGACAGCATCATCATCGACAACATCAGTATCAGCATCACCAGCACCATCAGCAACTGTCATCACATCCACATAACATCCACATCAACATCAACACCATCATCAGCATAGTCGTCAACGTCGTCGACGTCAGCAACATCGTCAACATCACCATCACCATCGCCATCACCACCACCACCACCGCCACCAGCAGCAGCAGCAGCAGCAGCACCACCACCACCATCACCACCACCGCCGCCACCACCACCACCACCACCACCACCACCACCACCACCACCACCACCACCACCACCACCAACACCACCGTCATCGGCATTATCATTGCTAGTATGCTTATTCTTACGAGTCTTCGTCTTGCTCTTGATACGGCTCTCTGGATGTATCTGAAAGGTTTTCGGGGTGGAAACGGATTTTAATCTGAGGCTGCGGCGTGCCTCAGCTCCTCCGGAAGAGAGCAGGGTCCATTCGTCCTCTGCCTCGGCTACGGGGCGAAAGCCGTCATGTGGTGTGCCCTGAAACAGTGCCCTTCCTGGGCAGTAGTTCGAGACCTAGCGAAGGCAAGCATGCGGAGCCGTGGGTCTGCAGTTTACTTTGTCGCACTGCTTCAAGTCCTGTTTTGCTGCCAAGCAATTGAATGTACGCATAAAGGTGGCCGCAGCTTGGCCCAAACCCCAAAACTCTCCACCAAAGGCCCTGAACCCTATGCACTCTTTGACCACGCGGCTGAAGAAGCCACTGCGAACAGGTCTGGTGCCATCCACTTCTCCAGAACCAGCCAGCCTTCCCAAGATGTTGCGTGTGCGCTTCTGCCAGTCTGAAGCTCGACATGGACATCGTGCGAATTCAGACAAGACCGAAGCACATGCTTGAAACCGATGAACTCACAAACTCACACGGTTCCGGATGAACCGTCAAAAGCCAGAAGCGCAGAACTGTACCACACGCTCTGCCTCAAACTATACGGACGTAGACTTAAGCCGGTCCAAAGCCTAAATCCTTGTTGAGCCTGTACACCTTTTCATCACGAACTTGGATTGTGTCCAATCAATGACCCTAAGCCTCGAAACCACGGTAGCGTCAGAGACGTTAGCAGGGTTCATGTGGGAGTTTCCGAAAATAGGGGACCCTAATATAGTACCCCAAATAGTAGGATCCTTATTATAAGGACCCCCAAATACGGTACCCCCCAATTTTCGGAAACTCCCATGTGATGCCTCCCAGATTGACGCCGCGGAGGCAGGCCCTGAGGCAGCCAGGAAGTTTAGTATTAGTTCAGGATTAGGGTTTAGGGTTTAGGGTTTCGGGTTTAAGGTTTAGGGTTTGGGGTTTAGGGTTTAAGGTTTAGGGTTTAGGGTTAGGCTTTCATGTGAGGGCCTTCATCATTAGAATAGGGTTTTGGGGCGCATTAGGTTATAGTTATAATAAGGAATGCCCCAAAACAGTATTGGTAATTATTTAGCTCCTATAGTAGCGTTTTACGGATTAGGGCCATGACTAGGGCTTAGCGTTTCGATTCAAGGCTTCGCATGAAGGCACTCTTGCAGTTTCTTTCAGCTATATGGGTTCTATAGAGTCGATATAACCACGGATCTAAACGTGTTCTAGAGGGGTTCCGCAACGGTTCTATAAGGGTAATTATCTATCAGGTTCTGGAATAATTGAGCCTTTGTGCTTATCGAGCAAGGTCTTGGCCCTGAGGAAGGTCCCCAGCCCAGCTCAAGAATCAAGAGCTTGCAGGGTTTAGGGCCTAGGGTTTCGGGAAACGCCGCCTTGATCAACCTAAACTCGCCAAGACCATGAACATGTAACTGCTCATCCTAGTATAATATTCAGCCCCTTAAACATCCACCCGAAATTTTCAACCATAAGATCTCAACCTTCTACCATGAAACAGCAATCCTCTACCTCAAGCCCTGTTGCAAAAGCCCCCGTCCTCTCTGTGTTTGCAGGACTTGGTCTGACGTTGTTTCGGATAACGAAGCTGTCGCCAGAGCCACAGACCTGCCGAAGTATGAGGTTTAGGGTTAAGGTTTCGGGTTTAGGGTTTAGGTCGGGCCGTCAGTTTAGGGTCTAGGGGGGGCTGAGGGCTTTTGGGGTTCAGGATTTAGGGCGATTCGGGCAGTTTTGTGTGCGCACGATTTGGACTTAATAGCTACTCAAGTAGAAGTGTATGCGTTTTGTAGTCTTTATGTAAGTGTCTTACCGTATCTTGCATAGGGCTTCAAGGGTTGAAACACACACATACACACGCACGCACATGTGTGTCTATAGGTGTTGAAAGGCATGACACGAAATTTCTCATACTCACACATCCTCCGTCGTCCGGCCAGGTAGCCGGTAGATGCTAATCGTATACTTGTGAGGTAGCCCCCTCCAAAAGCCGCTAGCAAGAGCGAGCAAATCCACACTTCTGTTGACAGGGAAGGATCTCAAGGCACACGTGGCCGGAAAAGATTTCGGGCTGCGGATGCGCAGCCCTTGCCCATGGATGTTAGATTCGATACCTCCCCAAAATCGGCATTGTCGGAGAAACGAGCGCAACCCAAACTGCTATTAGGCACCTTCTCCACGTTGATCTCGTGACATGTCCATGACATGGGCATCGCAAATCGCTCTGGGTCTGCGATACCGGAAGGTGTACGACAGCACGCTTGAACCAATCCCTCAAGATCTCGCGGCGAGCAACTAGCATCGCGTCTGCAGTTGCAACCATCGCCATTATTGTCCAAGCCTAAGCTTCTCGGAGAGTATGAGATGCGTCCCTGGGTCTGTCATGGCCACTCATAACTCATAACTGCATGCAATGAACCTGATTCCGATCGGTCGAGCCTTTTGGTCAAAGCAGTTGGGGGCTCTTGCTTCTTGGGTCTGGTTCTAGCAGAGTCTAGCAGAATCTAGCATCATCGGCTTCGCCCGGACCAAGTGCCCGGGCAAAAAACGCGAGCAGCAACTCAATTTGAGTGCGTGCGATGCTGGAAACTGGTCGACAGGATGCTGCTGTCCGCACTTGTCCTCGACACAGGCACGAACTCGCGTCTGCACACCCCTATCTCGGCATGCCCGGACATCTGCACACGGCACAGCGGCCTTGATTTTTTCAGACCACCACTCGCAGAATCTCTGTTTCCTCGAGGCAGGATTTCATGATCAGCTTTAATCGCTAACTCTCTCTCTCTCTCTCTCTCTCGCTCACACACAGTCTCTTGAAAAGAGACAGAGATGGCGCACGCCTCCGAGGGGGCAGGGTCGTTGCACAGGAAGGAGGGCGTGTCCTGCGTCAGTGGTGTTCTACCGTTGGGGGTTCATCCGGCTTAGGGTTAAGTTTAAGGCTTTCACCTGCAAGATGTTGCCAATGATCAATGATGATCAATGCTCATATACTGAGCACATGGACGCTGGCGGTGAAAACCGAACGGAGACATTGCGCCTACTGTGGTACCTACCACGTATCCGTGATGCCGAACGGAAACCTAAGGATACTTGTGACCAGTTGTGAATTCCCGTGCTCTTATTCAGCAGCTTGTCACGGCGCTAGAAGTGCTCGGCACATTTGGTCTGCTTTGTGGGTAGGTCTGTATACACAGCACCACATAACTCCATAGAACATGCTCCTGGACACATAATCCATCTTTGCCAACCCTACTCAGTAAGCCAAACAAACGTCTAAGCATACCACCTATAGTTTCCATTCTAGTTCCTTTTTCTGGTTAACCAGTTTTATGGTCAGGATCCTGTAATAGAAATTTAAAATAACCATAATTTTTGGTTAACCAACAAAAGGAACTACAATGGAGACTCTAGGTAAGCTTTTGGTACCGAAGATCAAACGTCCCTGTCTGCTCGGCAAGTTGCGGTGGAATCAGATTGTCAGGCTTCGCCACCCCCAAACTAGCTGTTCTGCTTTAGGGCCCCCCCCCCACCGAAGAATTTGGGTTAAAGACAGGAAGAAGCCTTTGAAGCAGATGTCGACCTTGAATGCCCTGCTGCAGCCGAATTCTTGAAGCCCCGTGCCCGAAAGCCACTCTCAAATTCAGGTCCTCCTTTGCAAAGTCAGCAGCATCGAGGCTGGCAAGGTCCTCATCGCTAAGCTTGAAATCAAAGATCTCCGTATTGGCCTCGGACGAAGTTGCGGTTAAATTGAGGTTTCCCGAAGCGCCCTAGACCCTTTTATCCAAGACTACTTTCGAAGCAGAAGACGGATCCCTACCGGGGTTACTAGGCAACCCTAAACCCCTCCAGAATTGAGGCAATATTTCAGTGGCTCGGGTCGCTGAATGCTGTCCCGAGGGTTGCAGCTGACATCGGCTGACCCAAAGGGTCCAAAGTACCAACATAGTAGAATGTAGGGTTTCTGTATTAGGAATTACCACTATGATTGGGGAAGTATTCCCCATAACAGTACCTAGGACCCCTTGGGTGAATCCTGCCTTCAAGTGCTCCTTGTTTGACGACTTCGTCGCAATGGAGACGTTGTGGGAGGCAATCCACTTGAGTGCCACCTGCACACGGAACCCCAGTCGGTTTTACCCTCCTACCCAGCAAGGACGAAACCCGCATTGCGAGGCCGACTTCGGTTTAGAGCTGTCTGAACCCCAATGAGGGCTTGCTCTAGTAGCCTCAACTCAACAGGTGTCTAGGCAGTTTACCCTTTTTAATTTTAAGCCTACATACCCTTCGGAACACTCGCAAACCCTTACAGAAACCTTGTAGAGCCCTTAGCCTTGTGTTCACCTTAAAGTAACTTTGATTCCGAACCCCCTTGGTAGCTGGACTTGCACTGCCAGGCAACTATCAAACTGAGCCTTGTGCTTTGAGGGCCCAAAGACTTAGGAAAAGGGTTCCCTTAAAGGCCCTATTTTCAAGGGATACTATAAGGATGTAGGATGGGGGCTTTAATGGCTAGAATAGGGTCTCGCTCTCTCTCTCTCTCTCTCTCTCTCTGTCTCTCTCTCTCTCTCTCTCTCTCTCTCTCTCTGTGTCGTGCCATCATGAAGAGTCTCGCATAGTGTTTGGCGTATGTTTTTCTATCAAGAGCTACAGGGACTGCAAGAGACACTACTGCCATATTCGGCCCCCTATGTGACCCTACCATGCCGGCGAGCCTGTACAGGAGACTTGCCGTACTTCTTGCCGATGGATGTGGTAAGGTTGCCTGTCAGGCGCAGCAGAGGGAAGGACAAACCTTATCGGACTCTATCGACCCCTAACACTACGACCGATATTGCAAAGGGCAACTGGTAACAACAGCGGCAATGATAAGAAAATCGAAACCAGCAGCAGCAACAGTACCAACTACAAGAGACACAGAGTAGCAGTGAACATGGAGAATGCTACGAATGAAAACGACAATTAAGTTCACCACAGACATTTGCACACCCTTCCGCTAACGCATGTTCATGTGGAGGCTCTACGAGCAAGGATCCATAGCACTGCAAAATGCCCCTTCACCAAACGGCTCAGAGGATGTGTGGGCAGTGAGACGGCTGGATACATGAACTACCTTCAGGCAATACTTAGCATGATTGTCTTACTTCCTAAAGCTTCAAGTCTTATTTAGGAGTCGTAGGGGTCAGAATAACTGTTGAAAGCCAGTGGTGCAGCGGTGCGCGCGATGATCGAAAAGATATTCATCCCTCCGGTCGACCCCCCGAGGTTTCAACCGTAGGCATGCGGCGAGAGTATGCGTTGCCTGATCGAACTAAGACTCAGCTTCACTGGGCTTACGAAGGTTTCAGCAAATCTTCCACTCCGTGCTGGACCCGGAGTTTTTTTCGAAAGCGGCTCGAAACCCTCTGCAAAATGACCTAGTTATCTCGTCGGCGCCGCGGTTGCGGTGTGCGAACCCCCAGAAATGTTCATGATAAAGTTTGCGAAGGCACGGCTGGTGCCTTTGCGAAACGAGGGCTTGCGCACCCCGAGACGAAGGGTTCCGGAGGCAAGGGAGGGTTCACGAACCCCCAAACCTTTCCACACGAAGGTTCTTCTAATGTCTTTCCAACCCGACCCGCCAAAGTAATGGCCCCATTCCTTTTGCCCGGAATTTCTGGAAGAGGACCAACAGCAGTGTTCTACAAACCTCTGACTCCAATCGAATCGCCAGCGTAAAGCCTTAAACCCCACAAAAACCCCACACCTCAACCCTAATGGATGCCTCAACCCTGAAGCCTCAATGACTCAACACTAGAACCAAACCCTGAAGCCTAAACCCTAATTTGGGCTTCTGAAAACTTTGGGTGGCCTCTTGACAAACCTTTGTGCCCAAGCCTAAGCCCTCAACACAAAAAGGGCTTGGCGGGCCCGATGACTATGGTATCTTACTAATTAGAATATGGTCTTGGGGTAGGTTGTACTATGGTTCTGACACGGAGCTTGAAGGAAGAGAGTGGCTCACTTGCTTCTAAATCAAAACCCAGAAAGGCATCAAACCTCTCAACATGCAAATCCTTAGCCCCCCCACCTATATAATCTCACACCCGCAAAAAATTGAACCTCTAAACCAAAATAGATTATAGTGTTGAATTTGGGGCAGGTAAAGTATCACGATAAGGTGCCGTATGGAATAAGATTGGTGACTATGCCTGCTTGTACATGTCACTTTAAACCCTAGACTCGAGCCCTAAACCCGTTTAGGCCTAAGCCTCAAATCCGAAAGCCTCAGTCCTAAATCCTAAACCCGAAAGCCTTTCGAACCAGGAGCTAAAGTCTAAACCTCCCCGGAGGGGCGACCTGAAAGAATTTCCGTGGAGCCATGCCCGCCGCTTCCCAGGGGGCTCCATGCCTCGCTAAAGGTGTCGGATTAGAGGTTTAAAATTTAAGATTTAAGGTTTAGGGCTTAAGACGTAAACTTAAGGTTTAGGGTTTATAGGGTTGATAGGGTTTAGGTGAAGGTTTCGGGTCTGCAGTGAGTTTTGTTGAGGTTCAGGATTTCACGGTTTATGCGGAGGAAACAAGCCTCCTTTGAGTCTAACAGAGTGCTACGTATTTATCAGTATTGGGTGCGTCTTGGGAAGAAGGCTTCCAAAAAGCCTCTTACAAGGCTTCCATCAGAGCTTCAAGGATCTAGTCAATGGCTGTCGGGGTGCAGGGCAGAAGGTTCATGGAGTCTAGCGCTTAGAAAATCTGAGTAAAGGCTTGGGAGCTTCCCCAGATGAGGGACTCTACTTTCCACACACGAAACAACAGAATCCTCCACAATATCCTAAATCATAAGCTCTTTATCAAGCCGGTACCCAGGGTTGTTGAAACCACCACAGCAGACAAGCCGATCGATGTTGGATGTATGGCCACACCTCGAGTTTAGGGGTTTAGGGTTCAGGGTAGGGTGGTGGAAGCCAGTCACCCTGAATGAAGACCTTCTGGCTGAGATGTCGCACGTCTTGGAATCCCGAGGCCGTTAAACCCCAACCCTAAATGAATACGCAAGCCCTATGCCCTAAATGCCCAACCCTCAATGTAAGTCTAAGCTCAAGCTCATGAACCCCCAAACCCTAAACCCCCAACCTACAGATGGGGTCGTTGCCTGCAGGACCATCTGGTGCTTCTCTGCGAAGGTGCGGAATCCCTGAGGATCGGCACCTCAGCTGCGAGGGTTTAGGGCTCAACC